TATGTATTTCTGACGGTTTTAGATCTACCTGCTTGGTTTATATCGGTTACGCTTCATGTTGACAAGTCCCTCAAATGGCGGCCAAACTTGAAGATTGCCGAAAATTAGGTAAGTTCAAGGAGTTATAAAGTTTTCGTAAAGGTTGGGCCGCAAAGTTTTTTTTTGAAGTTACCTTTTCTATGGCACCTACTTCCTAGCTATGCTAGTTGGATCAGTTAAGAAAGTCTCACTTTTTCAAAAATTTACCTTGAATTTGATCGGTTTTGGCGGGTGTGACTCAGGCGAACCGATAAGGTGTCATTCAATTCTTCCTGTTTCCTCGATTGAAACGTGATGTTTACGAAAGTCGCCTCGATAGATAAGAAAGAGTTAATATTCATGGCTGTGATATTTGTTTTTTGTCCTCCAAAGTTGTATGAAATTAAAGTCTTGAAAAGTGTCACGACAAGCCTTCGCTCGAGTGAAATTTAATTTCCGTAAAACTCTGAAAAATAAAGAGATCCGATCAAACGGATTGTGGTTTTTAGTATAGGTACATGAATGTATTACAACACACAAGAAATGAGCGAAATCCGTGTTACAAGCACAATCGACCGGACCGCTCTTACAGAGACACTCTCTTAAACGCTTTACGCATGCAAACACGTCTAGAGCATGGGTAGCCGTTCAAGTCTTTCAACTTGTATTATTGTATAAACTGATGGTAGAAAATAAGATAAAGAATCATACAAAGAAAATAAACGCGTTTTAGAAAATTATGGACGACAGCAAAAAACACTTCTGTCTTTCCAGTCCAGTTAACATAGATTAACTATATATATGCTCTGGTCGAATAAAATGAATAAAGCTAAGAAGCACGTAGTGGTAAATTCTCCTCTTCTTCTGTGTTTGTGTGAGTCTCAAAACCATTTTTGCTGGACTTGTCTTGCATTTTTATTGATGTGTCTCGTTTCTTCTCTCAAATTCATTTGCATTGCATTTGTTTGACATCAATTACCAAAAAACGATCTATAATCATAATGGAGTTTACACCTGGCGTGACAGGCGATACTCAATGAATTAATAATAACATTTTATAGTCCAAGACGTATTTATCCACTCAATCCGTTGCATTAGGTTAAATTCTTCGCTGCGTATTATTTTACCAATTTAGCTTTTTGCGCAAAGACCCAAACAGGAAGAGGGAAGTTCATTTCTAATATTAATGATCGTCTTGGCTTGAAACTAACAGTTTCTATCGTAACCATAGCTACCAGACAGTAATAAAAGAAAACGCGTTTGGCTCAATAACTCTAAACTTGGGCGCCAAAGAACGTTGGATCTTGGAAAGTAAGAGATGCCTGTACTGAATGCATGAAAAACTTGAGTTTGACTTTCACTCCATGATAGATATGATATCCAGCCTTAACTTCTCTATTTCCGTGTAGCTGAAATTAAACGAAAATAAAATTTACCGAGCTTCCAAATGTGGGTATCACAAATATTTGGCGAAAAAACATCTTCATGCAGCTACTTGAGAGAAACAAGATCATTATCCTTAAATTTTATTTTCTCGAACAAAACATTTACTATGTTAAACAATAGGGAAAAACGTATTGTTTATTCTCGTAGAGTGCGTGAAGCAGGCTAAATGTTTCATCGTGCACAAATTGTGGGGATGATTTTATCACACGGACGGAGAACGAAAAAAGCCGTGAGCAAAAGAAATTGTCGCATTAAAATCTTCTATTAATCACTCAATAAAAAAAATTACGATCACACGAACTTTGTTCTGCGTTTTGAGACAGAAGGCTGAGAGGTTTGTTTCCAGCTGGAAGCAGTAGAAAACCCTATAAACGAAGATCATGCCGTTATAGTGCAAATTTCTTGCCTGACAGTTGCTTATACGAGTTTTTGGATTAAAAAGTCTAAGACAACTTAACGTCTCAGTACCTGCTTTTCCTAGGGTTTTTCGCCGCAAATTAGACCTCCTCTAGAAGGTAATCGAAATTTTTACAATGTTGTTCTAAGGACTAATTTCGGTGTTTAATAAGCATGTTAACATGTAAAGATATTCCTATGAGACCCAATTCTCTTCATCGAGCGAAGCGGATAACATCTATCTGCGTCATTTGCATTAATTTCCACATAGAACTGACAGCCGCAAGCTTTTTTTTTAAATTTATTTTCATAATACGGTTTTGTTCATAAAACAGGTCGATTTTGGAAGCTTAATCCACTTCTGGGAGCTGGCGATCAACTTAAAACTTGTGTCATACGCGCGGGGTAGAAACATAAAACCGTTACCTTGAAGAAGGCATGGAATTTGTTAATTTTTCATGTTCATAAGATGGACTGCATTATTCACTGATTTGACTTTTGGAAAAGGTGAGTTGCAGAGACAGAATCATTTTTTATCCTCAGATTCACTTATGAGTACAAGCTTATTAATATATCTCCTTTATTCTCTTTTGCTGATACAAAAAGAGGTAATGTTACAACAATTAGCAAAGACTAAGTCAAAAATCGACATTCGACATCCACCCATGATTGGAACTCATTTTTGAAAAATTAAAAGGTATTTAACGAAAATTTTTTATCGTTTCTTATTCAGAAAATTGGATTTTGGATTCAAAACGACCAAAAACTTTGGCTAATACGAATTACTTTATTCAAAATGGTTACATTCCCATCTCTCCTCTCTCAACAACATTTAAGCATGGCACTATATGTTATGTTCAATTTCCATGTGTTTTATTACGCGGGAATTTGAAGTTTTTGCATGGTATGGAAGCACATTTTAACCGCTCTTAATCGTCTCAGAAAAATTGTTTTTACATAAGAGTCGCAAGTCTCAGAGAAAGTTATTAGCTCAAACATGTTTATAAGTTATAAGATAAGTTTAAAGTTACTCACCTCAAAAACAGGTGGCATCTGTCGACCGTTAAATTGTTGATAATTTCGATATTTTTGGTTTGAAAAATATAGTGTTTGACTTTTTTTATTTTAATTTACTCTTTCCTAGAAAAAGTCGAATTCCCCAATGTATACTAAATTCATCGATAGAAACATCTTGAACCGGTATATGAATCTGCTGAGTGATGCCAGACAAAGATGGCTTGTCTCAATGAAAATTAGCATAAATTTCCTCTTTCTATGATAATCGGTCTAAATAACCGAAGGAAATCGTGTAAACTCGAGTAGGAAAAATCTGAATTTTCAAGGACTTGTAAAATAAAAAAGGCGAAAAAAGGTTTATTGAGAAAAACGATTTTTTTTTCATGACATCGATTATGAAGTAGAGAAGGAATTTGAAAAAAAATTTGCGGATAGCCTATTAACGGCTTTTGTTCCATCTTCCCTAAAATAATAAGAGGAGAGAAACAAAACACACGAAAATGCTCTCTAAGAACCTTGTGTCTTCACAAAAGACAAGTGATGCTCGATGCTACCAAGTTTTGTTCTTGTTTTTTTTCCTTTTTGTTTTACTTTACAGTTTTTTGGAGGGGGAGGGCTGGAGATATTTATCTAGGGCCCTATTATACAAAACGTTAGGAATTTAAAATATAACAGTGGTGACAGCGACATCAACAAAAGCAATTAAAAACATCACTCAAATTTGCCTTGTCCCAAGTATTTTATTTGTTAACCTTCTTTATCTCAGATAGGCAAAAATCCGCAAATGAAGGCAGTAGTAACTTCTTGGTAGGCTGGTTAAGTTACACGGAACCTATAATTTTTTTTTTCCTAATTTTACAAGATAGCACACCAAAAGTAGAGTTATAAGGAAAAAACGGATCTAGCAACCGTTTCCTCACAAATTCCTGTCCTTAAGAAGACCGTAGAAAACGAAATAGAGGCAATGCATAATTCAAGGTACGAATAAAATTTATTGGATGTCTTACCGCCTTGATGTTCTACGAGCCTGCTTCTCTATGTTCGTACATGATTTTAAGAACCTCAATGCCGTAATGTTGCCGTTATGGCTAAAAGATTCCAAGGATTCTGTTATCGATTATAAAACGACGAATGTAATGCCATTTTCGAGTGGCCTTGAGTTGTTATCAATGAGTCGTTTTCCTTCAACGGAAGCAGTATTGCTATCGCAGTCAGCTTTTAACTTCCCGAACTGATTATTTCATAAATGCTTGATTAAAAACCAGGCAAATCATAATTTATCCTTTGATAAGTGTACGCTGCAAGTTTCAGGATGAAGATTATAACACACACGATGCTTCGCAAAGGAAATCTTGCAAGTTTCACCACAATATTCTGTATTTCTAGCATCTGCATTTCCTTGATTGTTAATTCCATATTCTACATACGCACATACTTACTTCGTTTCAAGGCGCCAATGAAACACATTTAACGAAAGATGAATCGTAATCGGTGGAATATAGGTCTACATGAGCTTTATTCGAACAGTTTGGTCGATACATATTTCCAAAAATAGCACGATTTAATTTATCGCCTGCATAGATAAAGTATTCTCTATGTCGTTGAAAACGTGAATAAGACCAGTCGACAGTTAAAAGACAACTATCTGATAACAACTCGAATAATAGACAGGGCCTTTAGAGCGACGCTAAATGAGTTCCTTGCAAAATGCACGCCTCTTAGCTAAGGCAAACCCCATGTTTTGAAAGCTGTCTTTGAAACAATTTCACAATTCTCTACTGGAACATTTTCTTGAATTCACGTAAAGTTCTTTGCTTCAGATACAAAACAAAAATGTAACGAATGTTGAAAAAAGGTCGTCCGTGCATAAGTTCTAAAGATTGTTTGACAGTTTTCAATTTCAGAAATAAAACCATTCGTGCATCGAGACTAATACAATTGCAAATTTAAACAATAGAGACTTGAGGATTAGAAATGTGGATCACACAGTTTTTCCAACGTTTTATTTCTTTAATTAAATTGAAGTTCGAAATTATTGAGCTATTTTTCAGTAGCATATCACACCTATTGAGAACTTAAACAATTTTTAAGTGTACCTTGAAAATTCGAGCAACTTCCACCGAAGAATTAGGCAATTCAGTCATTTGGTGTCTCATAGAAAGACGTAAACAGCATCTGATATGTGCCTTGTCTGTCATCTTGAACAAAACATTTAATAAGTTAAATAAAGGGGGAAAATGTATTGTTTATTCTGGTAAAAGTGCGCCTAAACTATGTTTTAAAACTCCTACAGAGTGCGTGAAGCCGACTAAATGTTTCATTGTGCACAAATTGTCGGGATGATTTTATCATACGGAAGGAAAGAGTTGTGCTCTTTGTCTAACTTGTGGTGACGAAGCCGTGGGAAGAAGAGCGAACGATTTTACAAGAATAGGAACTTTTGAAATAATTTCGAGTCGTTATTACGTGTTGATTTAACGTTGGTTGAGACAAGACAAAGACAATTCAATAAACTTTGAGTAATATTAAAAGTAAGTAAGCAAAATTCAAGAAACTGTGTATGACGAAAAAAAATTAACTTTTTTGTAGCGATAATAATTTATTTGAACTACATTGTCGACGACTCATTAAAAACTGTCAAGCTAAAAAATATTTAGCAAACAAATTTTAAGTATTTGGCGGAACAATGCAAATTCACACCGCATTTTATTTGGTCTGTTTGTCCTCACTGTCAACTTGAATTTATATTGTAGCTCTGAAGCCTTTGAGGTTCGAGCGATTCATTTGAATTGCGTGTGCTTGACGTCTGTGAATTATGCTCATTGTGACTTTCGCGCAAAATGGAGCCGTGTAAACTTTGGTGGAACAAATAGAAGAAACAAGAAAGTTCTTATCTAAAGTTAATCACCGTTTTGGCTTGAAACCAGGTGTTTCTATCGTAACCATAGCTACCAAATTGTTTTAAAAGAAAGCACTTTTACCTCAAAAGCAGTGAGGGACCAAAGAGCTTTGCATCTTGAGAGGTAAGAGTTTATCATATTGAAAACACCGATGAATGATTTGAGTAATACTTTCCCTGGAAAATATATATTCTTTACGAAAAGGTTTTTACGCCGCAACTCCTTTAATTCCGCATACCAAAGGAAAAAGGTTGGCTTCACTCCCAAATAAGGGTATGGTGCGATTTTAAAAGAAAATTATCTTGAGGTCCTTTTCAACGAAAGTAGATTATCGATACGCGAGGTTTACTAACTGAACCTTTAAATGATTACTTCTATGCACCACAAAAGTTCTGATAAATAATATGTTGCTCTGTTTATCTAAAAAAATTACCAAAAGGTCGCTAAAGTTTGAACCCCGTCCAAAATGTTGAATGTGTTAAGAACAACTTAGAAAGAATTATTCATCACATATAGTTTGGAAGCCTTGTATTTGAATTTTTCTTGCCCTTTTGGTTACTGAACTTTGTAGATGAATAAAGGGTTTAAACAATCTTCGGGATTTTCATTTCATAACTGAATGAGGATAATCAGCAGCTTATAAATGTTAATTAGCCAACTTTTTAAAAATTGTATTTTTTCTCGCTCATAATGAGACTATGTTATTTCATCTGAAGTTTTTGTGGAGTTTGAGTCGTTGTCACTTCACATTTGGAACCAATATTTCGAAATGAAGATTTTTAATGCTTGAACATTCGTTCTTCTATGGGGGCGTAAAGTGATCAGGCCTATCAGGAAGACATTTCAAAATGCCTTAAGCAGATCAAAGTTATCATTCCACAGAAACCGAAGGAGCCTTCAAATTTAAGTTTAATGTTAAGAGTTGTGCTGATCTTCCTTGACGATTGACATCCTATCGAGCCTTGTGCAAATTGTTTACTCACATCATAAACTAGAAAGTGCCTGAACGAATTTACAGGCAAGGTTTTAATGTACGTGTAGTATTATTTCTATATGGCTTCATCTGATATCAAACAAGTTTTGTTGAGGGGAAACTCGTCTTTTTTCTTTCTATGATCCTATTCTCAATATTTTCAGATTCAGCTCAAGCAAAGAAGTATGTGGTGGCTGTTCTGCCATTTAAGATTCGTCCTTTTCGCTTCTAACATGGAGTTTGTCGCAGCTAACGATCAATGTAGGACAGAAATAAACATACAAGGAATGGCTCTCGAGGGTCATGTCTTCAAAAGGTGTTCACTGGCGGCTCCTCACCTTTGCGATGTCAAATGTGGACAAGAGATCACGTGCCAAAGCTATAACTACAATCGAAAATACCAAATATGTGAACTAAATAACCGCACCAAGGAGGCGAGACCAGACAATTTCCTTTCAGCACCCGCGTGTTTTTACATCCGGCGATTGAACGGCAGAGGTAAGAAATCAAATGTCTTTCTATCTGTGTGACTTCTATTTCTCTTAAATCTTCTCCATCCTCAGCCTGGTTCCTTCTCACCAGGAAGAGCTAAGAATAGGAAGTAAATGTAAAACATATCTTTACTACAGCTCCCTTAGGTTCTATCCCTGAATTACCGGCGCTGTCTTGTCACGAAATAAAGGCGAGTGAAGGTAAACACACCATAAGCGGCAAGTACTGGTTAGATCCAACTAGGAAAGGAAAGGCGAAACTGATTTACTGTGATATGGTTAACGAAGGTAGGTCCTATAACTTTCCTTGAGTTATTTTATTTTGTGGCGAGTTATCAGTATCATGAAATTATTATAAATTTTACCATTATTGATATCATTATCGTAATATTTGGTTTGGATCAGTTCTAGCGTGGATGCCTCTCAAGTTGCTCTAACTTAGTCACTGCCTCTCTTTCAACATTTTAGATATGGATGAATGTAAATTTAACATCAGTGACTGCGACGTGAATGCAAACTGTACTAACACATATGGTTCTTACAAATGCACATGTAAAGTGGGATACACCGGCGATGGACGCTCGTGTTCAGGTAGTTTTAATATTTCCATATATAACTAATTTTTGTTAATCGTCTCATAATTTTATGCAGCGTTATCCATGCATGTTTATGCACAGAGTTATCATGATCTACATATTTTGTTAAACATTTTGTAATGATAAGAGGAATTACATGACTATGGGTCATAAAAATGATAAAGTGAAAAATTTATGAATAGTTTCTCAGATATTTACGAGTGTAAAGGAAATTCTACATGCACGAACACCAAAGGATCGCACGTTTGTACTTGTCACCCCGGATATAATGAAAATGGAAGCGACTGCACAGGTACTTAATGCGTTTCCTTTGTAACCATTCCCATAAGAAAGAAAAGCACTATCATCTTTGTAAGAGTTGTTTTACCAGCATACCTTGTATAAAAAGAGATGAGTGTAGGCCTGAAGACAATGGGGATAATGACACCATTGTATTCAATAAACATTCAGTGGTAAAAAAATCTCAACTGGCAAAGGAGACTTGATGGATAGGCTTACAGGACAGAACAACGGATTTGAACTTGGGGAAACCGAGAAAAAATCTGGTAAGTGGTAACAGGAAGTGCTCACGTCTAGAACCACAAGACAAAGACTTCTCAGCTTATGCCCGGCAACTTTTCTCCAATTGCATTTTTTTTTTATGTTTATGATTTTTCAGATATTGACGAGTGTAAAGGAAATCACTCTTGTCACGTGAATGCTGCATGCATGAACACCCTTGGATCACATGTATGTCAATGTCATGCTGGGTATACTGGAAACGGAGAAAACTGCACAGGTAAATTTAATCTCTTCTCTAAAATATAGTAGAATAGTCCTGCATGACACGTTCGACTACAGTGCTGCACCATCCAGTTGCGTTGCAAGACAATTAGACAATTTATCATTAAGAAACTCGGTCATTTTGTCCTCACGTGTTCACCTCCTCGAGTGTTCAAGTCGCTATCTTATGAGATTATAAACAGTTGTAATCTCTTGGTATCGAGTTGAACAAGAGAAGAAAAGTTACATGACCGCAAGCAACCATGTACTATTTTGATTATCATATAAATGCAATAGGCCTTTACTGAGAATGAAAGGTGACTTTTTTAAAGAATGATATGATTGGTTTCACAATCCGCGAAAAAAAATCGTAAAGCGCGTCGGCGATAAGGGTCAAGATGAAAAAATGCGTTGAACCATTACAGTGTGAAAACACGTTTTGCCTTCACAAATAAACGGACGGATGGATGGGGACAACTCTTAAAAACTCCTTCTGGGTAAAGGCTTTCCTTGGGGGCACTCGCTGGCTGCGCGAAGGACCGGAATCTATTACGGCTGCTGACTATCCTTGAGACAATGACTAACAACAACAGGGTTGGCTCCAACGTAGATTTATTCTGCAAGCTGTACTACAGTTTTGACCAGAACGGACCTGGCCAGGGCTGGTTCGACCCCCCTCTTCTTTTCTCTCTTTTTTTTTTTTTTCAGCTTTACAAAACAGTTCTATTTAAACCTAACGTACATGGATAAGGTAATGCCATGAATAATCTAAAGAGTCATGTAATCTACTACACTATTGGCTCAGCAGGAATTCCGCCTATTACAACATTAATTACTTTCAAAGAGTTCCGGTGGATAACAATTACACAAAAGGACATGACAGGTGGCTGTTACAGTTTAACACTAATAACAACTGTTTACGGGTGACTGAAGGAGAACTGCAGTGGTAGCGTTTACGCTTTGCTGAACTTAGCTTTCTACTTTGAATATCATATCTTTTAAGCGCAAGCATGAAAGAACTCGATAACTAAAAAATCCTATCGTTACAACAGAAACAGACAAAGGGCGTAACTTTCTTTTCACAAAATTCTCAGTTGATTTTTTCCTTACCGAAAGAAAAATATTTTCATGTAAAAGACACAAATAGGCCTTTAGTGAGAAAAAAATAGAATTTTTTAAAGAATGAAATTAGAAGTTTCACATTCCGCGAAAAAAAAGTCTACCAAGGAAGGCTAGCAAGGCTAATCTTTGACGATTGATATCCGACTACAGTTTGGAACGGTGTCTAGAGAGAGATTCCACTGCAGTGGAAGTTTTTGTTTAGTCTAAATTAATAATTAATTTGTCACAAAGGGAAACGTAGGCAAATTTTAATCTAGCCGACGAAGCTACGAGCAAAGTATGAAGTCTAAACAGAAGGAAAAAGGTTTTGTGAGTCGCTGAAAAAGGCTCGAGCAAAACTGTACTAACTAGCAAAAATTTACAAGGGACGACGAGCGATTCAACTTCCCTAGTTCTCAATCATGTTTTAGGGCTGTTAAATCGGGAAAGGTTTCGTCAATTTAAAAAACCGATAAATTACAGTGAAATTCATTTACAATTTTACTAAACTCCTCCTCTTGAAGTTCTTTCCTTAAGGTTTCGTATATTTCAAACGCTTTCAGTATTTTCTATAAAATTTACGATATTTCAAAGCTGAAATTGCCACAAGTTTCAACTTGAACTTTTTTAACGCGAATTTTGATTAGTTTATGTGTTGTCAGGCACACGATTTGATTGGCTATTAGGAAACACTATCCTCCAGAGCATGTATTAAGAAATAGATAAGTTATTAATGAACAACATTTAACTTCTTCTGTAATGTTCTTGGAGAGATATGTTTATATAATATAGGGTACTTTTTCCCGCGTTTACATTCTCTCATTTAAAGACTCGGCAAGCTGGGAAATTTCTCGAAATTTACGCTGCGTGTCGGGTTTGCATAACTTTCTCAAATTCTCTCAACCTCCTTTCATGTTTAGATGAGCGTATGTAAACACGGGAAAAACGTTCTCTATTGGTTAAGCAATAATCGGCTCCCAACGAAGTTGTCCAGGCATATCTGCTCACTTCGAAGAAAAATTATATACTACACTACAGCTCCACTTCGACACAGCAAACTTTTTCACAGCCAAATAATTCTAACCTTACGCCATTTTGTCCTCATTTAATATATGGAGAATAATACATGGGTGCCCGTTGATTTGGAATTTCTCCTCGAGTGTTCAACTCGCTATCTCATGAGAATATAAACTGTTATAATCTCTTGGTATCGAATTGTACACGAGAAGAGAAGCTCCATGACTGCAAGCAACCATGTATTATTTTGTTTATCATATAGACACAATAGGCCTTCACTGAGAAGAAAAGCCTACTTTTCCATAAAATGGAAATTGAGGTTTCACGATCCCCGAAAAAAAAATCGTAAATCGCGTCCGTGATAAAGCTCAAGATGAAAAAATGCGTCGAACCATTACAGAAACAGATGATGGGCGTAACTCTCTTTTCACAAAATTCTCAGTTGTTGACTTTTTCCTTATCGACAAAAGAAATATTTTCATGTACACGGCCAAAATCGGCCTGTGGCAAATCTCCCAGTTGTCGATTTTCGTTTTCAGCCGCAAGAAATACCATTACTTAGGTCAAGTACGTAACTTTCGGTTTTTGTTTTCGTATTTTGTTTTACTTCCGCCTCTAGGAATTTTGAACGACACTGTCTGTTACGAATACGATTTTTTCTGTGCTTTAAGCAGCCATTAATCCGATAAAATCTCGACAAGCGACCCTGTATCGAGAACGGTCAACGCTTTGCCATTCATTTATTAACCTGACACAGCTGATTGGCGATATCAAACACATGTAAAAAACCATCGTCATATTAAGCGCGTGCTGTTACGAATTTTCTTAGGGCGGGAAATTCTTCTAAAACACCGCAGTTTGTATGATGATTTTTTTTCCAACTCAACTTTTTAGCCGATCCGTGCCATAATTACAGAAACCTTAGCGAGGCTGACAGAAAGAGCACTTACAACACACCCTACGGTGGAGAAAAATGTGACGACGATTCCTCATCCTTAATATTCGGGGAATGGTATCGTTTTGTGGGAGATGCAGGAACAAAAATGCCAACCCAGTGCGTACCAGATAGAAGATGTGGTGCGGTCTTCTCAGGCTGGCTGAGAGGTGGTCACCCCACACTGGCAGATGATGAGGTTTTATCTGAGGTCTGCTTTACCAGAGGTGGAGATTGTTGCAAGAAACCAATGGAAATAAAAGTGAAAGACTGCGGATCCTACTTTATTTACAAACTGCGAAAGCCACCTACTTGTCCTCTGCGCTACTGTGGCACAGACTAAATGCTATAAGCAAGTCATTCTGCAAAGTAAAAGGGTTCACAAATCGATTTATTGGCACGAACATGTACATCAATGATAACAGGGACTTAAAAAATTTCATATGATCCACTTTTTATGATTATTTTATGGTTAAACAGTGAGTAGTTTCAACACAAGAGTACCTTTGGACTGCTTAGTTTGATCTTCCAGGTAAGAGTGCTCCTGAGAAGTTGTGACAGCAAGTAGTCAGTAATAGTGACTGACGTTTCTATAACCTCAGCGGAAATCATCATCAGAGTCGACTGAACAATAGTTGTTTATCCGAGCATTAGAACAGACTCCGTCCCCTAGCTAATGTCAACAACTATAGGCATTAGTAAGCTTCCAAGTAATCACAATATCTCTATCTATTCCAATCGAGGTGCTTCACTATGTAAGTTTTAAGCACTCTTGATGTTTACTCAGGTCGTTAGAAACTAAAGCAGCTTAGGTGTGTTGTTGATAGAGACTGTAAATAATTTCTAGAATTGCATAATTGTTAGTCACTGTTACATTGATACTCAAACTTTCTGATGACGTAGTATGGAAAACTAGAACATTCTATTAAGCTATGTAATTATTATATATTTCTACCACAATAGTTGTGTTGTAAACTTCGAAATCCGGAATGTTTTGAAGTACTGACTGTAAATATATGAAAATCATGTATGTGCACTGCGGTGAAGAAACGAATATAAGAGATCCTCGCAGTTATGAACACTACTGAACTAGTAGTTGAAATAAGACCTGAAAAAAATTCAGGCCTGGAAGCTGGTCATTATGTTGGATCTCTTATTTTCGTTTCTTCACCACAGTGCACATATATGATTTTCATATATTTGCAGTCATTATTCACCACTTGGAAGGTTTATTCGGATCCAACATAATAATCAGTATCTAGTTGGCTTGTTAGCTCAGTTGTTAGAGCGCTACACCGGTATCGTAAAGGTCATAGGTTCAAATCCCGTAAGGGCCTGATTTTTTTTCAGGTCTTATTTCAACTACTAGTTCAGTAGCGTTCATAGCTGAGAGGATCGCTTATATTCGTTTTGAAATGCGTTTTGAATGTATATATGGACTCAGTCAGTTAGGACTAGTATTTTTTTTTGTCGGAAAAGATCAACTATCTAAGGAGCTCTAACAAAAGATAGCTCCGTACCGTGATATACTTCAAAGATCGTCTATTTTGAGGAGATTTGGAGGCAAGGGTGAGTCTTTGGTGTCAGTAGAGAGCAAAGTTATAGTTTATAGTGGGCTTAAGTAAGTTTTTAAATAACAATTATTTTATTGCCTATAGGAGTAGGTCATGAGAAATAATCATTACAAGTTTTTTAATAGAATAAATTAAAATTGTAGGAGTATAGTATTCCTTATTTTGATTAAATCATACCTTAACAGGTGAATCTTGTAGGAAAACGTGTTGCTAGTAGAAAATGCTTTCCATGCTAGTAACTCTTCTACAAGCCATTCCAGCGAAAACTAAACAACACCAGAAAGAGGCCCGAAATGACGACCAGTTAAAACCTAATTTAATAACCTTTTCAGGCTTATTTGCGTGTATGCAACCGGTAACAGAGAAGGTGTAATCTGTTACTCTGGTTGTTTTAGTTATAACTGACAATGGGCCTAAGACAAATAGCACGTCTAAGTAATCAGAGGTTTACTTGTCTTTGCTGCATTTAAGAAAATCTAAATTGACTTTCCCAAAGCCTATACCTTCTTATCGCCTGCTATTCAAATTCTCTACATGTAAAAAGTTTAAGGTTACATGAGAAGAAAATGAATTATCACTTTCCAGATGTCAGTAAACAAAACCGATTCCACTTTATCTTTTTTTTGTCGTTAAAGGTACTATCGCTAATGTTTTTGAAGTGCAAAGTTCATCATATTCCTTCAAGTGAAAAATCGATAATCTTCGTAAGGGTTTCCGAACTTTAGGAAGAGAGAGGTTGATTTGTCGAGATATCTCTTTCCTTTAGTGAGACATAAATCGCCATCTGGTACCTTTCAAATATATTAATATTTTCTAGGTTTGATTGGACTCTCGACTCTTTAAATGAGCTTTCCTCTAAAATTTATGACGACGAATTTCTTAGAGAAACAGGTTCGTTGATCAATTCTCCCTTTAGTCAATTATTTGATAGAAAAGATCTTTTCAAGAAATCCCACAGAACTGGTATCTCTGAGACAAAATTAAACGATACAATCGACTCGTTATCAACGTACCCCGTAATAAAATTTGTATCCGATCCGTGTTATGAAGCAGAGGGACGACGAAAGAAATACCATTGACCATTGACGACACACCACTAAATGGTTCAGTGTTCTGTGTCACACAACTCTCTAAGGGGTGGTACCGTTTCGTTACAGCTGTAGGAACTAGAACTCCAACAACCTGCGTTGATGGTTATAAATGTGGTAAAGCCAACCTGCGCTGGTTAACCCTTTAACTCCCGGAGGCGATTAACCTGTTACTCCTCCCAACAAAATTCATTCATTATCCAGGTAATGAGAATACCCAAACTTATCAGGAAGAAGTTGTTTAACTGATCTAACATCAAACTCTCTGAGCACCTTAAAGGGAAAATCAACAATCAGATCTTGTAGGTGTCTTTATTTTCCCCACTGCTTAAATAGTGTTCACAGTCATTAATTTTCTTTTCTGTTTTGCAGTCTGTGCTCTGTTCTGTTATAAAGCACTTAGGAAGCGGCTAGAGCACGAAAGAAGTGTAGGGAGAAGCACTCGACTACGCCTCGTGTTTCTTCCAACTTCTTGAGTGCTCCAGCCGAGCTCAGCCGCTTCCTAAGTGCTTTACAACAGAACAGATCACAGTTAAGGCTTCTTTATTTGTTTCATAATAAAGAATCCGTTAAAATTCTCCACGCATTACTTTCAATTTTCAAAACAAACTTTATTTCCAAAGCGAACAACAGCGTCGTCATTATGCTCTATACTCTCATAAAGCACGCCATAATACGCCAATCAGA